ATTTTGATTAAGTAAGTAGTTGTATTGAGAATACGGCGAAATGTTTAAACAATTATGATACCGTGTGGGTATAGTAATTGTTTATTCCGAACCCTAAGGTAAAACTACGGAGCTGGGCCGTGAATCTTGAACACGTACATTACACAGGTTCTAAAATCACATTGAATACATCTATATTTGTCTCACTTGAGACAACTACATTTTCATTCATTTATTAACCTACCTGTAGTAGTGTCAAGCCACGGGTTCAGATTAAACTTACAATTTATAGCTCGCGCGGCTTTATTGGAAAGCGTTTTAAAGCTTTCAAGCAGAAGTGACCTTATTTACGTTAAGTTAATATATAATTTATATAGTAACTAAACCTCTTGAATTACTCTGTGCATTAAATTCCGATGAGGAGCTGAATAGATCCAAACATACACATGACGGGATACTACTTTTATACTACGATAATTCGGTTTATTTCTTAAGATAAAAACCGGAATATCATAAGTTCTATGTTGAATATAACCCTCCCGCTGAGTGCGTCCATTAAAAATAATTTCCAACATTGAACTATGAAATATTACATTGCTCATAATTATTTTTCAAACATACAAGTATTAAACATCAAACATGTTTTTGTGCCTGTTTATAATAATTTGTTTGTTGTTAAAGCTTATAAAGCGTTGGATGGGATATTCTAGAAATTTCTAAAGAAAATCGTAATTGCAATATGACAACCCTTGGCCGCAGATTCATCCGTTGTGTACCATTTTTCTTGATATGTAGTAGTGTGATCAGCGTCCTATACATTTACTGTAAGACCAAGTGTTATTTGGGCACACAGAAAGAAAAATCCATTGGTCCCGTTAGTCGAATGCACGACGACACGTTTACACCACTAGGCAAACACTGCTCAGCTTGGCATAGACTATTGCACAGTATTTTTTAAATAGCTTTATCCCTTATCGCTTGGAATATAAATAATCATGACAAAATTATAAAGCAAATGAGTGAAAACATTTTCATTATAGAACTTTAAAACAGGAGATTTTAAATTAATTTAATTTTGTTTCAAATGTTTAAAGTAAATAAGAATTAGAAATTAAAATATTATTTACGGACAGTTTGTAAAGGCTCTAAGTGGTTATAAATACAACTAACCCTAATATATATGCATATAAAAATTCCTATTAATTTATATGCATAATAAAAATAATAAAGAAAAAACGAGATCAAAAACAATTAATCTCACAAATCCATTAGTTCTAAAACTATCTAAACTACAAAAAAAACTAAATCGATATTGATACAGTGAACCCATTTATCGAACATCCTATCAATGGAGATAGGGAGTTCGATCGTGTTGAATAGGGATACGATATCGTACAGTAATAGTACTTTAAATTAGCATTCATTTGACGATGACTTTGTATATAAAAGTAAAGTATAAAGTCATCTAATTGCCAAGGAATAGTGTTATAATATTAATGGGAAAAGATCTTAAAAGCTGAACTTTACCGCTAAAACGTTTTAAAGGAAGAAGTTTAGTTATGTTTCACAAATAATTCAACAAAATAAAACCTTCTAATATGTTTGTAAAATAAATTACGGTAAACTGTTTACTTTTAAGTTCTCGTATGTATCTTGTCGGACGATGTTAAGGGATCAAACCATTTTTTTAGTTTCCAACAGCTGCGCGCGAGGTGATCTTATGACTGTGAGACAAGAATCTGTTTATGTGTGCTACACATGCAATCCTTTGATATGTCCATTTAAAAACAAGGCAATTAAGGAAACAGTTTACAGGCATGAATGTTATAATAAATTTTGTTTATAGTCTGATATATCAAAATTCATAATTGGAAAGGCTTTTTCGTATTAATTATAACTTGCGATAGTGCAGTGAAAACATTTATCTGAATACTACAAGTTAATTTTATTTCAATACTTACAAAATGAAGGTATTAAAATTTATTTTTTAATACTTATAATTAGGCATACTGCCGTACCGGCCGCGCGTAACTCCGTCAAAAGGGTTAAAATCAGTACAAAGGCTTTGTTAATACAAAAATCATATAGTTTTTTTTTGTTATGGCTCTGGCACGGTTTGTGCATTAGCATAGTAAGTAGATAAGTATAAGATTTTTATAATTCGTGCTTTTTGCCTTAGAAATTCGACCATGTCCTCCATGTACGGTTTAGGCACTCGCCCGGTACCGCACAACCCTCCCAAAGGCCGAGAACAAATTTAAATTAAATTAAAACTTGCCCTCGAACCGGGAATCGAACCCGGTACCCCTCAGCTTGCTGCCACTTAATAAGACCGCTAGGCTATGAGGCCCCTAAATCATATAGTTAGCGATGATTTTATTTAGATCTGCCTGCAAGAGCATTGAACTTCTTCATTTTCCAATAAGCTATTAACTTGTAAGTGGAAGATATACCAGCTGTTCACTGTCCGTCATCGGTTAGTTTAAACATTTTAGATCTCCATAAGTAACACTTGTTTTTGTGTTTATACATTTCGCTTACATTAGTCCTGAGCTCTAAACATCCTGCATTAGTAACAATTTAGTTTATTTTTACACCAGCTTTCTTTAAATTTTCTCAGTATTTTTTATAGTCTAATAATTGTTTAATGATTTTCTTAGAATCAGAAGTGATATGCTTAAATTAATGGAAACGTTTGGTTCGTTGGATGAACTATATATACTTATAATATAAGCAAAGTACTATTTAAAATAACGTGTATTTTCATTTTACTGGCACATTTAATTGGCACAATGACCCATTATATGTAATAAAGATTATGGTTTTTTGGTTATGTAGTTATTTTCACAAGTTGTGGCGCAATGTTCTCCATACGAAATTTCGTTGTATAACAGGGCTCGAAGTCTTTTATTTAACCACGCATAACGCCTGACTGTAGATCAAACTTGACTATCAAGATGTCAAACTATCGGGATTACTGAATACAGCTGGAGTGGTAATCCCTAAATAACAATCATAAAATGGGAACTTTCATGAGTCCAGGAAATTTTCGGCATCGCATTGTTTCGCTTAATAATCGTAACTTATGAATCTACATACATTATTTAATCGTTTAGGTGATTTTGCAATACTTTTATAAAATTTAATTAAATAATCATAATCTTCGTCGGATAAATTTAAAATTATGTTAAATAATTGTAAATTTATAATAATACATAACTTTAATCCGGTTAAAAAGATTTTCTTTAAATTTAATTAAGTTTCTCGTGATATAGACTCTCATAAAAGAGTGGCTAATTTCTCTGTCGATTTCACCGAACAAACAGGACCATTGTATTTTTTAAGCACAAAGCTTATATAATCATATTTGTATTATCTTATATTGAATTTATAGTGTAAGTAAAGAGTAATATAAATATAATTTAGGCACGGTTTATGGTTTTGTGATAAGTGGGTTCTATCACTAATGCGATGATAAATAAATTTAAATTATTTATTTATTGAAGTTTAAAAATATGGAGTAATAAAGGACGTGCACCCTATAAGAGTAGAACGGATCACGTTTATGTCAATTATAACTTATATTCCATGCAAGGAACTTGTTTGTTGTTTAATGAATTCTCATACTTTCAATGTTATAATAATACGGCGTTTTACTTGCTCATAGAACCATGCATTATGAATCCATTTCTGAATTATAGGATTGCCTAAAACCAGAAATCGTATTTTTTATATTAGCAAGCAAACTCGCCATATGACTTGTAATTAATACATGTATGCTGAATATAGTTGGTAATCAAAACACTGATTTTATTTCGAACAGACAAATCACACTTGTCCACTCCGAATACCAACGACCACGTTAAACCTTTTTTCTTTTACCAGTTTGTGCAAAGGCAAAATTGGAGCTATTTTTGATAGTGACCAGTGAACCGAGCAGTATTGTTCAGTTTTTCCCATTTGAATTCAATTTTTGCGGCAGTATTCCTTAAATTCAGATTTTTCGTTCTGTCTGGTTTTTCCGAAATATAAAGCGATCCGAAAAATAATAAATTAATATAGTACCTTTCTTAATAGTTGCCCCAGATAATTTTATTAGTCTAAATAATAGTGACTCCGGTAAGGCAAAAACATGTTGGATTATAACATATGTAAGTCATATTTTTCGCTAAATAGACTGGATCTGATCTGCGACCTTATGCGGTTTAAGATTATGTTTGTATTAGACTTGCACATAATTTAATTATTTTCTGTATTAAACAAGTTAAGAATTTTTCTATGCATTTGAATTATTTTCATAATCAAAATTTAAAAGGGGAAGGTTATGGTGCAGAAAGACTAACTTTTCTGCATTTTTACAAGTACAAGTTTTTGGCGCTAAAATCCAGCCGAATACTTTTGCCTAATATTCGGCTATTCGGTCAGAGACCTCGCCGAATATTCGGTATTCGGTATACTGCCGAATATACTATATGTTGCAAGTCTAGTTTGTATAATTAGCATAATATATAAATCTACAAAATGATAACAGGCACGAAAATATTAAGAGATCGTTCGACTTTTAAACTGCTACATAAAACAGTAATTTAGACATTCAAAATAAGAAACAAAAGCGATGAATCTCAACACATAACGACGTCATTCATATAGATTGCACAAAGTTGAAAGAGCATCAGACTTTAAACTTTTTATTTGCCACAGAATCGTTATTCTTCATAAACCGTCCCCGTCGGGACGCTAATTCAGCACTGCTGACACCTGCGGACGTCCCCGGAACTTCTGTCGTAAAACAGGAAATGTCACAATGGAAGGCTTAACTTTATACTTTAATCAAATACTTTTACGTCGCCTGAATTTCATTTTCATAATAATATTTAAAAATTTTGAATCTTGCTTGACGTAAATTAATTATTATTTTAGTATTAGATGTCTTTTACTATACATATTCAACAGTACATTTTATGTGCCTACTTAATAACATAACCTATAAAAATCAGGTGTTTTTAAATATTTAGTAACGCTTAATTAGGTCTATTCTCGTGACCATCCGTAGCTGCCTTTGGTTTACGTTGTGGTCCTTTTTTCGTTGTTGTTGTTGGAGGTGGTGGAGTTGTAGTTGTCGTAGGAGGTGGAGTTGTCGTTGTCGGAGGAGGAGGAGGTGGCGTTGTCGGAGGAGGAGGAGGTGGAGTTGTCGGAGGAGGAGGAGGTGGAGTTGTCGGAGGAGGAGGAGGAGGAGTTGTCGGAGGAGGAGGAGGTGGAGTTGTCGGAGGAGGAAGAGGAGCAGTTGTCGGAGGAGGAGGAGGAGGAGTTGTCGGAGGAGGAGGAGAAGGAGTTGTCGGAGGAGGAGGTGGGGGTGTTGTTGGTTTTAAGGGCTCGGTAGTTGGTTTTTCTGTCGTTGTGGTTATTGGTGGTGGTTCTGGTGCCGGTGCAGGTGCTGGTGTCGTGGTCGGTTTTGTTGTAGGGACAGTTGGTAAAGGTAAAACTGGTGTCTCCGGTGGCATTGTTATTTCTGTTGTCGCCTTAACAGTAGTTGGTTTATGCGTTGTTGAAGGTGGTTTATGTATAAGTTTCTTAACAGGTTTTTTTGTTCCTCCGAGTATAATCTTCATAACGCTGAGTGGCATCCAGTGACCGGGCATGTCTGACTCCACCGGATTTGCTATGTATATCAGAGTATCGTTTTCTGGATTCGGCCATTTTGCGGTAACCATCTTTACAAGAATAATAATCGGTATGATTGTAGATGACACTGATAAAAGAAAAATAATATAATTCTAAAATATCCATCACTAATGTAATGATAAAATTAAAATTATCATTTTAAGCCTAGCCTAACTTTATTACGTGTCTGAAACCCTAAAAATCTTAGTAAATGTTACCAGAAATGACAAATAACTTACTTTGTTCGCAACTTTATTATTAAAATGTTTTAAATTTCTCATGATATTTGATTTCACTGTTGCATAATTCGATAAATACTCTAGTCACATTTATAACCAACTCAATTTTCTTTTTAAATTAAGCGCGAATCTTAATTTGTTTTTCAATTTCTTTTTAGTTAATCATTCGTATCCTTAATTATTTTTACTTTTTTTTTGGTTTTGACAAAAAAATATATAACATGATATAATAGTAAATTCATAAACTGCTGTGACTATAAAATTTATATTACATTATTTTATTTATTATAATAAAAAAATAACAATGGCCTAGTCTAACATGACGATGATAAGAATTTTTTCTTAGTAAGCGTGACGTGTGGAAGACCTTTTTATAATAATGAACTAAATCAAAAGCAGTTCAAAAAAATTTTCTAAGATGTAAACGTTCTTTTAAAAAAATCTCGATATTTGGTAAGTGGTATCTATTAAACAATCAAAATAAAGTATCACAACCTAAATATGTACAGGCATGGTTAATCACTGACAACAAAAGATCTTAATTTATGTGGTGAGTTATGTAAATAATATTATATTATCGACTTTATATTGACAATCATAGTTTTGTTTAAATAAAAAATGTGACTATTAAGCATACTGCAAGGTCTTAATTGATACTTTTTATTGATATACTTTTATTTAAATCATTTATAAAATTAATATTTAATTACTGAATCCTTTACATATTACTCCCATTTCCCTAAACGAGCACAGTTAAACAGCTTGTTAGCTTCGTAATGGACACAAATAATCGCCTTACAACAATTAATATGTAAATGTTATATTACTGTGTCCGATCCGACATAAGCAGTGTTTGGAGGGTATTATGTTGTCTACCAAGGTTTACCAAAGAGCTTAGAGATAAGCGACTACTCATTAAAAAGTATTTCTAGTATTTTATTTTGGTTTTATTAAACTTTATAAATCATTCGTTAAACATTATACGAAATAACGATACAGAGATTAAAACTTCAATAAATGGCAAATTAAGCAGCCTTTAGTGCCACATTCTGTAAATTTTTGGGTTTATACATATTCGCAATCTATTCTCTCATCGTATGAGTTAATGTATTAATTATGTACACAACAAAATGTTTTGGTTCCGAGGTGTTGCTGTTATTTCACTATTCATTTACCTTATTCGTTATTTACGTTTTTTTATTAATATAGCCTGCTAGTTAGTAGAACTTAATTTTAATTAGAAGACTCCGTTCCATCGTTAAAAGTTTCTTCGTACTAAATAATGGATATTGTATAAAAAGTCCAATCAAATCCAGAGTTTATTCAGTATATTAACAGTAATTGTGTGTTTTTTCTGACCGATACTTGGCAAGTATTAAAGTCCATGGTAGGACCTCTTCAGCATATTTTTACTCTACCAGACACAGATGCTTATTAGCTTGGTTTCGCCACCTCGTTCCAGTCATACCTTAACTGTCATAGTTGTTCAAGTTTCAACGCTATTCCCGGAATACTAAGCTACACGGATGGAGTTATTAAGGTACGCTTGAATTGTAAGACTGAAGTGGTCGAAGTCAGTTAAAAATATCTCAAACACTGCCCATTTCGGAATATACCAGAAAATCCTATAAAAATACTGAAGGTTTGTGTATTTCCTTAATATCGTCATTCGTTAAAACAATACGACTGGAAGGTTCCGCTGTAGACTCATATTGAGATCCATAAATGGATTATCATACCATTTTGTAGTTCATTACGATGACTACTAAAGAGAAGAAGACTAATTGTGATATTTAGAGTCGTTTTAATTTAGCGTTTTAGTATTTTTTAAGTCTTATATTAAATTAACTAAATCCGAGAAGAAACAACGGTAGTCAAATCCGTGCTCTGTCAAAAATTGACGACCCTTAACAATCACGACTAAACTTTAAGATATAGAAACAGGCCCTTATTGGCAATAAAAGCTACTTTGTTCTATTAAATGTGACCTCTTATTATTAAAAGTGACCTCCAAAACGTTGACCTAGGCTAGCAAACTATCCTAGAAAACGTGTTTGCCTTTGTATTTCTAATGTAAGTTATGATTAGATTATAGCAACTGCACTGATTATACCAAATGATTTGTGAACGTAACAGTATTATATTCAGTGATTCCATTAAAACTTAAATCAATACGGACATAAACTGTGTTACGACCACTATAACGCTAACGTATAAGCAGAAATTTCATATTAAAATTTTCATAATATCCAATGACATTCCGCGCGATAATAATATTTTATCTCTCCAATATAAAAGATATTTAATATGGCTTATTTTTTAACATAATTGGGTTTTGTGTACCTTTTGTGTTACCTTAGATATTAATAGCATAGTTTCAAGTATATACGCTTATTTGAGATAATTTTCTTCTTGAGGTTTAGACACATTGTTATTTCTTGTATGTGATAAGTGATATCTATAAATACATCGATGTTGCATCAGTCTATCTATTTTATAGCTTTTAGATTGATAAAAATAAATAAATATAGATGTCTAATCGTGATAATTTTATTCAAACAACTTTGTCGGTAAAACTTTTTTTAAAAACTACTTGGTTTCCAAAGTCCTTATATATCCTACAAATATGTATATATAGTTCAACAATTTAATACTAATAATTAAACACTAATTTTGTATTCATATAATTATAAACATTTGTTTCAATTAGATGGATCCTTTGATTTTTTTTCTAAATTATAATATTGCAGAGAATTGTGAAACTCAAGGTTTTAGTAAAAAAAGGAATTTTCATATCGCTTGCCCCGGGGACCTAAGTCGTAAAGAGGTGTATTACGACCTTTTTAATGTTTTCTCATTTTTGACCTTGGTTGATGTACTGTATTTTTTTTTCATTATTTTGCAAAACATTTTACTATGAAAAAACCCGAAGATATCTTAATTCTACGGAAATAATTTCGTGTATATTGTTAGTAATACTCATTTACCTTATTTTACTTCCCCTGAAACACAACCCTGAAGAACAACCGTAAAGATAGTTTTAGTTTAGACTGTAATTCTATTAAAAAATCATAAAAGTTTAAATAATTTAAAGTGTGATAATAGATTATTACGTTCTAAACATTTGTCAAATGTCGGCCGTCGTAATGTGTGGTTTATGTGTCGTCCGTAATTATGTTTAAACAGTGTAACAATCGTAATCGCTTTTGCTCTTCAGTCTAATTAGATGAATTACTGTAATAAAAATTTAGTTATTTTTAACTATGTACACTGAACACATGATAACAATATTTAAATCGTCGAATAGAAACAAAAATAGCTTTCATTTGATATTTATAATTGTATACTTAATGTACATTGTATCCTAGTAATAATAGCATTATCTTCTTTATTGTTCCTGAAAAAAATAGATTTTGCTTTTATGACTGTTTTCCGGGGCAAGCGATATTTAAAAATAATAATAATTAATTAGCGGATGTGCACATTATTTTTGACCTCTGATTGCATCCTTGCTGCCTTATTTTCTTTTATGAACATAATTATAGATTAGCCTTTTGTAACAGTTGTTGTTGCTGTTTGTGTCGTATACATACCCGGCTCCTTAAGATATTTATTTAGGTAGGAGCTGGTATAGAAATTCATTAGCCGGGATTCGAACAAATAGTAGGTCGAAATCGCTATTTCATTTCAATATTTAATGCATATATAATAGCTTATTTCATCTAGACATCTCGTTAAGTAGGGAAAATGTATGTCAACTCGGATGCAACAACATTTTTAAATCGACTTCGTTTCGAAGCAGTTTTCACGACATTCAGTTTTTGAATGAATCCTTCCCCTTTGATTCTCAAACAAGATACGGTTTCCGCTCGGCATGTTTACTGATACTTTTTCCTATAGTAAGATATCTCAACGATCTTAAAATGTTAGGATACATTGAATTCTGTCGGATAACAAGCGCATAAACATGACATTTTACACATACAACTTCTTCAATGAACAAGATAGGCATCTTGTTAACAATAATAGACTTGTTTAAATGCAAATTGTTTCGAAAGGTACAAATCCATATGACCTTTATGATAAATAGGTTATCAAGTTTCATTTCAAGAACTTTAGAATATATTATTCCGTATGGGCGAATTTTGCTTTTTAGCCGAAATTAATGAGCAAACCGTTTTTTTTGCGTTCCTTTATTATGTCATTTTATGGTACCTATCAAACTATAACTCTGTACTGAGATGGAACAATAAAGGCCAAATTGCTATAGCACAATGGACAGTATTTCAAATGGTATTTGGGTTCTGCCGCCCACCTGTGACGCGTAAAGAGAAGTTATGTATTCAATTTAGTTCTAAAGCATATTTAGCATTGCGTCAGTAATGAATAGACATTGCAGTATTTCTAAGGGACAGGATGTAACGTAAATTTTACTGAAATTTGAAGATTTCAGGGAAAGCTTTTCATACCTGAATAACCCATTTAGGTTATTATGACTGACTGTTTATTACGTTTCGTTACTAAAAGCAATGAATACATTGAAATTTAATATAAAATATCTCATTGCCACATAAATCCTGTGTTCATTTTGATTATAATTTTGAGTGACTTAGGAAACCCACAGTGGAAAAGTTTTGTGGACATTTTTGGGGAAATAACAAATTACACTAAGTGTAGCATATATTATATAACCTTACGGTACGTTTTAAAATGTAATTACCAGTAATACTAATATAATTACCAGGATAATAAAACAGTTACTATTATACCATTTATAGCGTATATTTACGCTTAAGATACGATAAATGTAA